TGTTTAAATAGGAAACTGGTGTTACACTCCCCTCTGATAATATCCCTCAGTATTAGGATATGAAGCCACAATCTGCCAAAAATTGCACCATCCTTGCCAGATTTGGGGGTTCTGTAGAGAACTCCCACTACCAGGTCAGGCTACTATAGCTCAGGAAAATGGTGTAGCCATTCTTCTTTGGTTTTTTTTGAGACAGGGTCTCCCTTATATTCTCAGCTGGCCCAGAACTTGCTATGTAGACCAGGCTGACCTTGAACTCACAGAGATCTGCCTGCCTCTGCCTTCTGAGTGCAGCCATCCTTAACATAGACTATACTTGAAAAAATGTTTACGGACCCCAATGAAATATTAAGACCCAGAAAGGCAGTATCAGTGGTGGTTTTGACATGTAATCTCTAACAATTATGGAATGCCTGCTATGTTCTAAGAACTGATACATTACCTTTTAGTCCTTTCAACAATATCATGAAGTTTACTTCATGCATTAGGGTTACAGGCATTGCTGTTAACCCTAATTCACTGGAAGAAGCCCACGATAAGGAATTGTTAACGAGGTTAAATAATTGCTAAAGATAAAGGTAGCAAGAGGCAGGGCTGGGATTTGAACCCATGAAGTTTGATTTTTTTATTTTTGGGGGGTGGGAAGTCTTTTTGAGACAGAGTCTCCCTGTAGCTCCAGCTGGCCTTGAACTCACTATGGAGATCAGGTTGGTCTTGAACTTACAGAAATTCACTTGCCTCTTCCTCTCCAGTGCTGGGACTAAAGGTCTGGGCCGCCATCCCCAGCTATGACGTCTGATTCTTACGGGTGTATATGTGTGCATAGATATGTAATAGATGTACTATATATGACCACCACGCCATGGGGCCAAACAGGATGAAAAAATTATTTTTCATAAAAGAACAAATTAATTTTCTCCAAAGTTATCCATACTCATTTTTTCTCCATCAGATACTTAGTCTTCATTTCATACCCTAAAAGACCAACATTTGCCTGTAAATTTTAATAAAATTTTGATTAAAAAATTTTATTTTTATTTTATGTGTATGAATGTATTGCCTGCATGTGTGTGAGTGCACCCGTGTCGTGCAATGCCGCGGAGGTCAGAAGAGGGTTTCAGGTTCCCCTAGAACTGGAGTTAAGGACGATTCCAAGCCGCCATGTGGGTGCTGGGAATTGAACCCAGGTCCTCTGCAATAGAAGTCAGTGCTCTTAACTGCTGAGCCATCTCTCCAGCCCCCAAATTTTGAATTTTTAAAGTTTATAGTAGTTAAATTTATTAAATTTATTATAAAACAGGAATGATACAGATACTATACTCCGTTCAGATGAAACAACAAATCCACATACACGCTGTATTTCACTTACTGGAATTATTTGGACCCAAGGGATTGTTTTTAATAACTAAATCAAGTAAGTCGCTTAAAAAACAATCAAGTGCCTTCGGTGCTTTCAAGCTTCAATAATTAATTGATGTTACTGTTAAACTACTTCTCTTTGGCACATCATTCAAAATTCACATACCTAAATCCTGATAATTTGTGGCTTTCTCTCTTACTCCCTTGTATTACTACTCATATACATCTTACCACATTTCCAGTTGTTTTCAAAGTTTGCTCTAATATTCAGACTACGTCACAAATTTCCTCCCTCTTTCTAAAGAAGTGAATGCTGGCTGCAAGCCCTGTAGCTACTTTATCAAAGGTTAGTAGCATAATTTTAAGATACATATTGATTATAAAAATATCCCATCACTAAAACTTATTTACTACCAGGGAACCACCAGAAGGGGGTACAAATCACTAAGGAAGGTGTAGGTGGAGGGTTAGCTGTCAAATCCAGCAGGGCGGGCAGTACACAGGGGAGGTGGGAAAAGGCAGTGCTTGATTCAATTCAATAACAGTCACTGCGCCACTTGCCAAGCGCCAAAAAACCCCGCAAAACAAAAACAACCAGCATGAAATCAGCCGGGCAGTTCGAGGAGCGGCGGGCCTGCAAGTGCCAGGGCAGCGGGGTCGGGAGCGAGGCGGGCGCCGAGCCCCTTGCTCTCCAGGCGCTGACAACCAGCCCCGCCGCGCCTCCCGCGCCGCTCCCAGCGCCCGAACGTTCGCTAGCCCCGCCGCTAGCACAGAGGCAGAACAGCCGCAGCCGCTTACCCGAGGAGCCTCGCCGCTTCCCCCGAGGCAGCCCTCAACGGTTGCCGCAGTCAGAGCACCACCCCGCGGCGGGGCACGTCGAGCCCGCCGGCAGCGCTCGGATCCTCGCAGCGCTGCCACTCTCGCGAGAAGCCAGCGAGAGCGCCGAGGGGCGGGGTAGGAGGAAGGGCGGGGCTCCCAACGGTGGCGGCTGGTTCTGCGCCGGATCCGGTAGAGGAGCGGCCGCCATTGTGCTTCGTCGCCGACTGCTTGGCTGCATCTGAAGGCCGAGCACACTGAGGGAGGCAGCTGTGTGACTGCCGCGAGCCCGACGCGTCCTGCCGATTGCCGGCTGGAGGAGAGGTAAGGAGCTGCGGGGCCCAGGCCTAGGTTCCGGCGGCCGGCGGCTAGGCCCGGCCGCGGTGGGGGAGGGGCACACACGAGTGCTGGCCGGCGCTGGACAGAGGACCTAGGGCTGGGTGCTGGCTGGGACGGAGGATCGTGCGTCTCTCTCCTGACGCGTGGTGGGCCAAGCGGAGGGCTGAGCGGCCTTGGGGGCCGGTTGAGCGCCCGTGGTGGGTCAGGCGGAGGGCTGAGCGGCCTCGGGAGGACTGGGCCACCTGGAGGGCCTGGGGGCTAAGCGGCCTGGGCCTGCGACGCCGGGGTGGCGGGAGCACCGGGCCAGGCCAACCCCACTTCCTCAGCTCGTCAGACTCAGTACAGATCGGCTTCTGTGTAGCCGCACTTCCTGAGTATCGAGACACCGTGTGTCTTGTGGCAGATGATGTATTCAAATTAAAAGAGGTGGTATGTGTATAAAAATACCTCTGCTGGCTTAGGAAGCAGAAAAATACGCAAGGTGCGAGTAGTGGAATACTCCCTTATTTTGAAGGAACTGCGTAGTGAAGAGCTTGTACACACCTCGCCAAGGCCACTAGAGTCAACACTTTATTCTCACAAAAGTAAATTTTAGTATATGGGGAAAATCTATGTGGATAATAAATGCATCTTCATGACTAGTGTAATGTGCCAAGTAAAAATTGAATAAGGGTCGTCCTCCTTCCATCCCCCCATTTTGTACGATTTTTTACTATTCATTGTTTTAAATCTCCCGATTTCTTATTCCTGTCTACCTGTTTGTCTCCAGAACTAAGAGATAAGAGTAAAGATGGATTTGTTTTAAAATTCAAATAATACTAGTATTTAAGAAGGTAGATTCTACGTCTTTTCACAAGCTAACAAAAATTTTGCTTTAGAAACGGTCAGTATTTTGTTTTACAATTTCAGCATTTGTGAAACAGCAGTTTGCTGCTGGGTTTGTGAGGAAATAGCAATCAAGTCAGAAGATCTGGCCAAAATTCTGGCCGTAATTATTTAACCTTTTCAGATTTCCTAGTTGAGGTATTAGGTGAGATACTGTGAAACAGTCAACAAGCACACCTAGGGGACATAATATTTGCAGTGTGAATGTTTTGCTTTCAGAGAGAGTCTCACTGTGTAGCCCTAGCTGGGGCTCACTGGAACTCACTTATGATGACCAGACTGGCCTTGAACTAGTGGCACAGCTTTTTACTCTAAATGATTAGTATACTTCATCTTTTAATTTTGGTAACTTATTTGTATTTTACTGATCTGTTTTCTCATGCCTATGCAGTTTTCCTTTTTAATGCTTTAATTCTTTGATTTGACACTTTCATAGACATACACAGTGGATTTTAGTGGTTTTCATTTCCTATTAAGTTTTTAGTTTCATGATGTCTTAAGGAATGTGGAAGGTCTTGTGCATGCTTAGCATCTGCTCTCCCACCAAGCTATAACATACCCAGCCCCAGGTTAGGTGTCTTGAATAAAAATAGTTTTCCCACATAATTTTTAAAATGTTCCTGTGTGTGTTCTAGATGAAAATGTTAGATAATCAATTTGTACATAAGTCATCCATAACGTTTGAAGGAGACAATTTTTACCCAGGTCCACATCTGTCTCACCTTACATGATCAGGAGTTGCCACATTTTAATATATTTTAGAAAAAGTAATCTTACAGTGGAAAATTTATCAAATACTATAAAACATTGATTACTAGCTTATGTCTTTCCTTTACAAGAATGAGATTGATGCAACATCTTCCCTTTATAACTCACAGTTTAGTCATCAGACCAATGCATAAACAACTGCTGTTATTATCTTAGTATATACTGTATAGAAGTACTATGGGAACAAAAAGATGTGCTCAGTCTTTGAAAAATTTACAGAAAATAATGCTTGAAGTAAGCTCTAGACGACTAGGACTTTGGTAAGAGACCCAGATCATAATATGGTTTGTTTTAAGAAGTGACAGTTTGCTTCCCATAACTGAAAGGTAAATTGAAAGAAAGGTTAGAATTTGGCATGAAAAACTTTCTGTAATATATTAGGAAGCTAGTGCTTTGTGCTGTTGACTGGAAAGATGTGTTCAAGTAAAAATTATTTTTAGATTATCTTTGTTGATGTATTCTTCTATAATCACAGATTGTTTCAGTAATAATAAAAACCTGGGAAAGCTGAAGTAAAATGCGTAGATTTGCACCAAACATCATTTTTAAGTAGCAAGTTAAAGAATTAATGAACCATTTAACTATTAAATAACTGAATCAATGAGTCACATTAGAATAGTCACAATTTAAAATGAATGAGTTCCTACTAAAGTTCTTTTTTTAAAAAACTAAAGTTCTTGAAGCCACTAAAGCAGAATTCCATTAGAGTGAATTCATTAATCAAAAATTATTATTTTATAAAATTTGCATAAAGTTGCTAATATGAGTCTGAAAGGACTGGGCAGAAGTTAGACAATTGCTTTATAATTTGAGAGTTGACTGAGATCTAATGTTCATTGATTTTAATATTTTTCTACTCTTGAAATGAACTTAATGTAGTCAAAGCTGGTTTTACCTGTTGTCAGATGTATTTTCTCTGTGACTACCGGTTAGACTACATAAGTTGAACATCTTGTGTTATAGAAATCACCTATTCCTCTGCACCCATGTTTGCCAACAGCTATAAAAGAATGCAAGGTTTGAACTTTTAAAGCTAGTAATCATGTGTTTCTCACTTAATACAAAGAACTTTAAAATGGTTACCAGTTGCTAAATAAAGATTAAAATGTGATACCTACATAGTAATTCACTTCAAAGAGAACACATTATCTCCTAAAACCCATAGACAACATCATGGTTGTATTTAACATCTGTGAAGATGTTAAATTTTTCCTTTTAAAAAACTTTAAATATCCTAGTACTTTAAAGATGTGTTAACTAAATATCAAAAGAGATTTTTCTAAAAGGCCTAAAAGTTCTGTGTGTCAGAGTGCTTCCCTCATTTGAGTATGGTTAACTTCAAAGCCTCCCCTTTTTTCATTACAGTCGGTAAGATACCTGACCACATTTGACTTCTCATTAAGAAAAGGTGTTTCCTTCAGAAGCTGATTTTTTTTTTTAACAAAAGAATATAAAAAATACAGGCAAGTAATGGAATTGTAACCAGTCAGAAGATTATTGGCCATTGAAACCCATTGATATTTTGTGTGACAGTTCGTTTGTGCCATGAATTTATGATGTAATAATGTTCTTTTGATAATTCAGTAACTGAACTTCTGGATATTTAGCATGGATTTTAAGTAAGACCCAGTTAGAACTGGACTTTTCATAAGTCTGGGGCATAAAATAATGGCACGATAATAGTAGGAAAAAAAAGTTACGGAGCTTTAACTGAAAAACTAGTGGATTAAAACAACTTTATACTGTTTTCATATTTTTCAGTTCTATGAGCCTGTTAGACAGTTCTGCTAGTTGTGTTTGGTTTTACTCTTGTGGACCATTTCCCAGGCGGGGAGGGAGGACTAAGATATCACTCATACCTTGGTGGCAGTTGGTGTTGGTTAATATCTGGATCTTATGTTCCATGTGATCTTTTATGACTTGGTGTTTCAGGATGGCATCTAACAAGATCTCTTAAGACATTTTCAAATCAGTGTATCATACTGTATTTTTATTTCTTTTAATATTTTATTTATCATTTTTATTTTTTTGTGTATGAGTGTATTGCCTGCATGTATGTGAGTGTACCCTTGTCATGCATTGCCACAGAGATCAGAAGAGGGTGTCGGATTCACCTGGAACTGGAGTTGAGGACGGTTTATAGCCGACGTGTGGGTGCTGGGAATCGAACCTGGGTCCACTGCAAGAGCAGTTAGTGCTCTTAACTGCTAAGCCATCTCAGCCCCATCGTACTATATTTTTCAAGTCAAGTAAATTTCATAAGGCTCATCTACATTCAAAGGATAGAAAAATAAACATCATCCGTGTCTTGGGCAGACCATCCACATTGCATTGCAAAGATACTTTCAAACTAGGATGGGTGGGGGCATTGTAGCTGTATTTTTACGATTTATTTTTTGTTTTTAATTATGTATATAAGTGCACATGGGCACAGGTGCCTGTGAAAACCAAAGGAGTTGGAGTTCCAGAAGAACTGGAATTACAGGCTGTTCTGAGCTGAGATGTGCACATGGGCCCTCTGAAGAGCAGTACCTGCTCTTAACTGCTGAGCCATTTCTCCAGCTCTGTAGCCATATTTTATGATCTACCATAAGTTTAGATCATTTTAAGAATAAGCATCCTTTAATAATTTTAAAGGTTTTAATATTCTATGTGTATGTTTGCCTGCATGTATATAGGTGCACCCATGTCATGCAGTGCCTGTGGAGGCCAGTAGAGGGTGATGAATACTCTGAAACTGGTGGTTGTCAGCTGCCAAGTGGGTGCTGGGAACTGAACCCAGGTCCTTTACAAGAGCAGCCAGTGCTCTTAACCACTGAGCCATCTTACCAGTCCCCAAAATAAACATTCTTTAAAATGCCATGATTGGGATTGCTTTAAAATAATAGTAGAAATGGTAAATAGGTAACAAGTTTGGCCAGATATTGATAATTTAACATTGTTGGTTGGTATGTGGAAGTACATTTTCCCCTGTTTTTGTGTATGTTTAAATTTCCATGAGTGAGATGGAAATAATGCAAATACAATGCCCATGTAATAAACTCTCAAAAATATAAAAGTTTTTTTTAAAAAAATACTATTATTGTTAACACAGTGTTGTATATACCTGTGATCCCAACACTGGTAGCAGAGGTAGAAGAATTTCAAGTTGGAGGTCAGTATGGGCTTCATAGAAAAACTGCCTCAAGACATAATTTATTAATTAAATTGATAAACCTTTTAAAAATATATATGTGAAAATACTTATGTTGATTGGGTTATCTCTGGGTATGCATATTGTAAATCCTTGTTGGACTAATTGCTATGGATTTCTTTTTCAGGACTGTTACTAA